TTAAGTACATGCACAACCCTGTGCAATCATCACCTTGCTCCCAGAACTTTTCCATTACCCCAAACAGAAACTCTGTCCCCCCTTCAACCAGTCCCTGGCAACTGCTTATCTACCACTGTCTCTATAGATTTACCTATCCTGGTTATTTTGTATGAATGGAATCGTATACTACGTAACCTTTTGTGTCTGGCCTCTTTCACTCAGCATGATGTTTTCAGGGTTCATACATACTGTAGCATGTTATCAGGACTTCACTCCTTAATTATGGCTGAATAATATTCCTTTGTACGGGTACACTGTATTTTGTTTATCCACTCATCTGCTGATGGGACACTTGGTTTGTTTCTACCTTTTGGCTATCTGTTCGAATTCCTCTTTTCGATTCTTTTAGGTATATACCTGGTGGTGGAATTGCTGGGTTATAGGATAATTGTATGTTTAACTTTTTGAGGAACTGCCAAACTGCTTTCCATACTGGCTGCACCATTTTACATTCCCACCAGCCATGTACGAGGGTGCCAATTTTTCTTTCATCAATCTTTACTTCACTCTGGACCTTAGGGCTCCTCAAACTATTCTTACAAGTTTACTTAAGCCATTCTTTTATTAGTCTTTGGCCTTTAGCTAATGGATTTTAAAAAGCAGAATTCAGTAGTTTTCTCCAAATCCACCATGACCTGCTGTCTGATAATATTTGGACTTTTACCTCCCACCTCTCCCTTTGATTACGAGAGCGAACTTTGCAATCTGATGCCTGGATCTGGATCCCACCCCCCACTCTCCAGCTGTGTGCTCCAGCTTCCTCCTTTGTTAACTGGGATGGTGAGTGTTTTCGTTTCCTATGGCTGCGGTAACAAATTACCACAAAGTCAGTGGCTTAAAACAACAGAGTTATTATCTTATAACTCTGGTGGTCAGAACTCTGAAATGGGTCTCGTGGGGCTATCATCGAGGGGTTAGAGCCGGTTCCCACTGAAGGCTCAAAGAAAGAATCTGTTTTCTTGCCTCTTCCAGCTTCTAGGGGAAGCCACAGTCGTTGGCTCATGTCCCCTTTCACCATCTTCAAAGCCAGCAATGGCGAGTTGAGTCTTTCTCACACCCTATCACTCTGACACTCTCCTGCCTCCCTCTTCCACCTTTAAGAACCCCAATGATTACCTGGGCAAACCCAGATAATCCAGGATAATTCTATTTCCAGGGTAACTGGTCAGCGACCTCAACTCCATCTGCAACCTCAACTCCCCCACGCCACGTGACCTAACATATTCACAGGTCCCAGGGATACGACATGGACGTCTCTGGGGGGCATCATTTTACCCAACACAATAATAGCAATACTTTCCTCTCAAGGTTGTTTCTAAATTCTTTCCCTTCCTCAAGATATATAGTTCCGAAGACTGAAAGCCACTTAAAAGATCTCTCTACTCACTTACCCAACAAATACCCACTGAGTTAATGAAACAAAGCATATAAAGTACTTAGAGCGTGGTACCCAGTAAGCACTCAATAAATGTTACCCATTATCACTTCATGATCCATGTATTTTATAATCCCTTTTGGCCATGTGGTTGCAGCCACAAGAATCCACTTCATAGTCTGAACATTCTGAGATCTGTCTTCCTAAAACCCAGCCAAGCACTGCTGCCTTTCACAACCATCAAGTCCAACACAACTTCCCCATCACCAACCTGTGTTGTGTTTGTGTTACAACAGAAGTGGAACCGGAGCATGGCGGCTCCCCTCATCACGTCCCCTGTGAGGAGATAAAGCACCACGCGGGGCTGGTCAAGAACTCATGATACCATCTGGTCCCAACGGTAGAGCTGAAGCTTCCATCACTGGGTCTCTAACCTGTGTCCAGGCCGCAGCCTTCAGCCCCACCTGGCTCAAGGGTCTGCAACATGACCCCGAAACATGCTGAGCTTGGTGCTCTGAACTTTATCCCACACAGAGCCTTCCAGCAGGTCCCCAAGGCCAGCTGCACAGAATTCACTGATTTTGAAGAAGGTGAAGATAGGTTTTCCTTCAAGAAGATTCCATCCTCCATCAGAACCACACCTTTTATTTAAGGTGCTCACCTCTACTTCAGACGTCGTTGAGATTCCTCTAATGTCACAGAGAGAAGTGGGAGAACACGAAGCTAGCCGGGCCCCCAATGTTTGTTTCTAAGCCACTACCCCGACATTGCTGATCATTACGTCCACTTGAGTTTAATGCAAGTATTGTGTTTTATCACATTTGGTTCTCAGTTTTTATGATTTCTCTCCTTCCTGTCTTAAACCGTTTTTCATATTCACAGGTTGGGCACTGAGGCCCAGAACAGATGCTCCCCTCTCCTGGTGTCAGCTGCACTAGTCCTTGCTGAGCCTGGAGCCCCAACCCCCTTCCATGTTGGTGCCAGTGACACACACTCAGCAGGCCTGGGGACGGAGCAGCCTCCACTCTGAGGTCTTCAGGTCCAGAGCAGCAAGTGGGCGCCGGGTCCGGCCTGCAGTCTTGAGAGTCTGGTGTGTGCTAGTCGGAGATCACACGGACACTTGGGAGCTGGCATAGCCGTGAGTGGGAACCCCTGCGGGACTGGGCCTGGGGACTCTGCGGACCCCTTCTCAGTCTCCTTCCCCGGGTACAAGAGGCAGGATACCGGTACTCAGGGCATTCCATTTTCAGTCCAGACCTTCAAGCCCTTTAATGAGCCTTCGCTATAAAGCCTCATTCCTTCCCAACCCCGGCAGGCAAACCCAAGCTCGATCCTCACTGCAAGAACGCACCTTCTGGTGTGGTGCCGTGCACGTACCTCAGTATACCCAAAATGGCAGAATCGGAGACCCCTGCCCATGCACCTGCCCCTCCCTTCCAAGAGCACCACCAGGATCCCTCCTCCCCACCGCTGCTGGACTAGAGCTCATCCACGTGCCCCTCTATGAGGACAATTTCATGCCCGCTGCCCAGCTATGGTGGGGGTAATTCTTCCCTTTCTCAAAAGGCTGGGTCACATCCTCCCATTCATCGGCTCTTGACCACAATTTCCTTCTGTCAACTCAGAAACCGTATTTTCTTCCTGGTGTCCTCTCAAGTTCTTTCATCTATCTAAGGACAATCCAGCCTTGCCAATAACCCGAGGAAGAAAGGAGAGCACCTCTCACCTGGGCAGAGACAACTGACTGTGGCACAGCCCACAGCCTGTGGTTCCCAGAGCAGCGTTTAGCAAGCTTTCCTGCCCTAAATTCCAGTTCTCAGATCTTCAGATAAGCTAATAATCCTTCCTGGCTCCCTCTGAAAATTCCCCAGCAAAACTGCAAGCCACTGCATGCTTTCTGGACTGTTTACGCTGTTCCTGGGTCAAGGGTGTGCTGGGAAGGCCGCGGCTCTGTCCTGTACGCTGGCAATCCCATCGGCCCAAATGTCTTAGTAGCTACATCCTCTCACTCCCGCACCAGGCCAGGTGCCCAGCTGCCTCTGCATCCTCCACAGCATCAGCACCACCAGAGGTGGGGAAGCCCACTAATCTGGCCCACTTCTTTGGCTTTGTCTTGATTTGATTTGGGAATTAAAGGCTATCAATGTTTATTTTATGGTTAAGGAGATTATGACAAGAACACAAATGTAAATAAATGATGAGTAATTATAGTAAAAATGGCATGAGTGAGGTTTCAGTTCAGTAAGAGCCTCAAAAGAAAAATAAAACAGGGTGGTTCAGGGAATAAGGCACAATAACTGTGAGAGTGAGACTAAGTGAGAGAAATTCAGAGTATTCTCTTTAACAGATGACAGCTGGGTACATTTTAACCAAAAACTCTGTATTTAAAATAGGAATATACACCGACTACACAAACCCTCGTTAATGAGGGAGCTCAGTTCTGCTATTCTGAAACCACTCAAAAGCTGTAAAATTATGTTCTTTATTTCAATCGGTTTAAAACATAGGTATTAACTTCAAGAAAACAAGTCTTTAAAAATTGTAATCGTTAGTGTTATCTTTCGGGTCGTAGAGCGTTATTTTATACCAGATTACAGACAGGTACGCTGGGCCTCAGTCAGTCCATGCGTCTAACTCAAGACTTTTGAGCAATCTTCATTTGATATGGATTAGCGATTATCAGTGGGGGCTATATGGGCTTCTGTAAATCCGGAGGCACTAAAACAAAATGGTCTTTGTGGAAGGACCTCTGCTCTGGGGTGGTGTCTCTGACTCTCCCGCTAATGGGAAACCACTCAGCAGGTCACAGGTCAGTGGGGAGGAGCCATCACTAAAGGGTACAGAGCATCAGGGACCCTGAGAGGTCTTGGAGCTGTGTTCCTGCGCTGCCGTCAGGCTGCCGTGAATAGACTCATTAGCCCTTCAGACAGAAGCATGCCCATGACAAGGACCGATCTATTCGTCGCCAGGAGTTTTAATATCAGGGTTACACAAATTTCATTCACGGTCATTTTCATTTAATAGCACTTTCCAAAAGAGCAATGGAAGAGCGGGAGAAACACGTGTTCCAGATGTCAGCAGGCCCAGGAGTCCGAATCGGCGCCCAAAAACCACCTGCTGGCAAAGCTGCCATCCTGCTCTCCTGAAGAGTCATCAAAGCTAGCACCAAAACCAAGTTCAGGCACACACTAGTGGAGTATTTACGGACCAGAGCATACAGCCTTAGTGAAAAAAAGGAAGTAACATGCAACAAAGCAGAAAAAGGAAAAAAAAAAACAAAAATGCTTTTCTGTTTGGTTTTCTACAAAAATGTATTTGAGTGCTATTAAATAGTCCATTTGTAGTCAGCCTGAAAACCTCACCGAATATTTGGCCGCTATTGGGAGCATCATTTTCTACAGACTTCTCTGGGTGATTCTAGTGGGAGTGGGATGGAAACTGTCTGTTTGGGAAGGTTCTGTGAGGTTCTGCTGTCAGCAGCGTGGGCTTCTCTGGCCAGGCCAACAGTCCCCTCCTCCCATCGTCACTGGACCCACCCTCCCGCAGGGAGGCTGGCGGGGCAGTTCTCGCTATAGTCTGATACCTGCCGTTCCTGGTATCGTGCTGCCGCATGTTCTTGATAAAATGAATCTTCTTAAAGTTCTTTGGTCTGGGCGAACCTGAGAGAGTTCGACATCTGAAAAATAAAGTCATTTCAAAAACACGGTCAGTTGCCCACAGGACAGCTGAGACATCTCCACACAAAGACAGGAAGGAAGACCAGACAAATGGTTTGAATCACCCCGAGGATAATGAGGACAATACGGCTGGAAGGGAGGAAGCTTTAAAAAAAAAAAAACCCAACGAAAGACAACTTCCTTGATAATCCTGATAATCATTTATATGGGTCTCTGGAAAGCCAGCTAATGAAAACTATTGTCCTCACAGTTACAATAACATAACCTACATGGATTCCAAAGACATTATTCTTTCTTGTCATCTTAAAAAGAATCCTCCTGTATCAACACCGGTAACGGGAACAGAAAACTGTAAATTTAAAGAATTTACAGGGGGAAGAAAAACACTGGAAAATTTAGTTTAAAGGCAATGCCAGATCATTTTTCTTCCATAGCAGGACTCTGGCCTGAACCACCTGGACAGCTGCTTCAGTGCTTAACTTGACTACGCCTGGAAGTCACGGCTTTACTTGGAACGAGCCGCTGTTTTCTTTCTTTCCTTTTTTCCCCAAGATACATTTTTAAATGAACATTTGTTGAACGGACTGGGATTCAAATTACTTTTTTCCTGGAATATATGACACTGCTTGCCCTACAGGTCTAACAGAACACACCACAGGCTAGAAAGATCTTGTCTGTATTTTTTTCCAAGTTACCTGGCAAATTCTAAAGTTATACAACTGCAACAGTAAGAAAAAGGGCAAGAAAAAAAAATCAACAAATAAAGAGTCTGAAGTTTGGTCTTGTCTTGAGAAAGGGAGCTGTGAGGTCTCTGGGTTTTTGCTACCAATTTTTTTGTCTACTTAAACCTTTCTAACCACTGGCGCCAAGGACTGGCTCCTGCCATGGGGTGTGGGTACTTAGGACCTTAAGTTTCGAAGAGGGAGTTTTGGAACAGCAGTGCCTGGCTTCCCAAAGCCACACTGAGCTCTGGGGTAGGGCCACCACCCGAGTTCAGTCAGTTCTGAAGTTTGAGGCTTCTGGTAAGATTAACAAGATGACCCAACAAGGAGGTACAGCTGAGGGCAGGTGGGCCGTGGGGGCATGCTGGGGTACAGGACTGGGAAACGGGCAAGGTCACAGACCTGCACAGCGATTCCAAGGGCCCAGCTCAAGGGAAACTGGGTGAAGTCCCTGGCCCAGACGTCAGGTGTATGTTCCCTCAAGCCCCCTTACCCACCCTCTAATAAAGACCCAGTTTTCCGAGAAGCCATTCCCTGGGAGTGCTAAGAATGAATTTTTTTTTTTTCCCTACTTGGAAAAAAAAAAAAACATACTGAAGTGAATGAGTGCAGGCTAAAGCAAAGACATGGTATCAGGTATCTGGCAGCTTTCATTGGGAAAACGGGGCTCCCCAGTCCTTGGGTCTAGAGGAGGGAAAGCCCCCCTTCATGTCCACCACATCCATGGACCATGCAGAACCCATGTGGCCCTGTAAGACACTTCACAGCAGCAACCACAGTCCTCCCTGCCTCTAGCCCCAAACTCACCAACTCTGCCACCCTGACCTATCACTAGTAATATTTCAGATCCCTCGGGCCTTGTGAGGATTAAATGTAATGACATATACAAGAGATTCATAAACTGTCAAGTGACACACTCAAATACAAGCATTCACATTCATACACGTGTATATACATGTAAATATTTGTATACAAATCTCAGTATTGTGATTATTAACAGACCATTAGCTACAAAGCATGCATATTTTGTTATTATTTGCTTCCTATATTCTTAAAATTGTAGCTGTCACCAAGGGTCCTGAATTCTTGGTTTTAGAATCTTTTAAAGACCTTTATTTAGTCAATGTTTCCTGTGGCCTTCAGGCAGGGTTTGAAGAGACAGCACCCATCAATCCCCCTTCCCACTCCAAGCTTCCAAACTCAGATTTAGCCTTACCGAGGTTCAAGGGCATGGAGCCTCACTCTGCCTTCTTCGGGCAGCTCTCTGGAAGCAGACTCAGGACCCCAAACTGCCTCAGTTCTACCTCCAAAATGACTGAGTCTGCAGGCCACCCAAGGTCCCCAAATGTCTCTCACAAACAATGCAGAAGGTTCTAGAGACATGTAGCCACTGGAGAGAAGAGAATCTCTGAAAGCATAAGGCTATGCTTCCACTGGTTTCTGGTTAGGGCCAAGTGTCCAAAAGTGTCCTCACACCCTTACCCTGCTTCCCCTCAAACAGCAGAGCTTCCTGAGCCAGCCAGCAAGAGGACAGTGGGCCAAGAGCTGGACTGTGATGGGTTAGTAGGTACTCCTGCCCCCAGCAGCCCGAAGCTGGTACAAATCCCAGCCCAGAGGAGGGAAGACCTGAGTTTCTCTCTGCCTCCTGTGCCGTTACCCTTCAGGTTTGAGCACAAATATTCCCTGGCCTTCTGCTAGAACTGGAAGTTGGCAAAAGGGCCACAGGGGATTGTTGGCACTCACAGGGGGAGGAGGAGGTACCGGTAATCACTGAATGGTGCAGCAGCCAACACCCATCAACCCAGACAGGCCCGAAAACAGAGGCAGGTGGAGATGGCTGGCACATTCGCCACCACCAAACTGAGGATTTTCTGGACACCTCGTAGCAACGTCCCGTCTCCTTAATACTAGGATACCAGGTCACCACTGGGCAGGTGGACAACTCCTTAGTCTAAAGGCTCTCATTATGAATGCTTAACTCCTGGAGTTCTAGGCAGGTGCAGGGCACTAACTTACTAGCAAACTGTGATGTGCAAGAGAAACATGAGACTTTAAAAAAGAATGTATCAGCACCCAATTATAAGGGCATATGCTACTAATCTAGCCCCTTCTTTAGCAAGTTGTTTGTTGTCTTGCATTTTTTAAAGCAATCAACTAAACCACCAGGGAATCTAAGAAATGTTTTAAAAGAGAACTGTGGCATTGGCAACCATTGCCAAGGAAACTGGAAGACGGAGCACTCAGCTTGTGACAGGTTAAGCAAAGAACGAATTAATTTCAGTATCCATTTAAAAACATACATCTTAAGTAATGCAAAATTAAATTAGGATAGAATTAAATTAAAAACTAATTTAATGAAAGATTAGCTCTTTCTTGTTAGCACTGATTACAGCATACACTTAATTATGCAAAAGGTTTTTAATAGATGCTTTGCAGCCATTTGTTCAATGTGCTGAGTTTAAAAACAAGCTGGGCTAATAGCCTTCCGCCCCCACAGTTCCCAAAACACTTCAGTATCATTACTGGTACATTCATTTCACAAAATTGGGAGCTGGAAAGGACCTCAGAGAGCAGTCAATTTGCCCTCCCATTTTACAGATGGGAAAACTGAGGCCCCAGAGAAGCTAAATAAAATGTCTAAAGCCATGTAACCAGTTAGTAGAAGAATCAAACCAAGAATTCAGGCCTCCAGACTCCCAAATGAATATCCCTTCTGCTATGCCATGCTAATTTTATTTCCTAGGAATAAGTACATTTCTAAGTTAGTTAGTTGTTACTTTTAATTCTATTATAGTTCCATACAGCGTTACATTAGTTTCAAGTGTACAATATGGTCATTCAACAATTCTGTACATCACCCAGTGCTCATCCTTTCTAAGTAAATATTAAAACTTTTTTTTTTTTTTAAAGTCTATTAGGGAAAATAAAGCCTTCCCAAACTGCCCAGATTCCCTTGGTTTCAGACTTGTTTTTTAAATTTTATATTTACAGAAGATTTGTTGGAAATTAAGTATAGTATTCTGTAAGTAAGAGTTGGATAAGTTATAACTAAGGCAGATAAGCCCTTTTTACTGTGCTCATCTGTAGCATCGGGCGACTGAAGGGTAGAGAGCAGAGGATCAGCCTGGGTGGATTCTGGGAGGAGGGTACAGAGGTGACCACGCAGCACGTGACCAGACACACAGCAGGTAGTTCCTCCTCGCCCTTCTCCTCCCCACCCCCCTTTAACCACCTGAATCCCTGAGGACAGAGTAACATATTTTTTACCTGGTTTTCCTTGACTCACAGCTACCACACTGCTTTAACTGACGCCTCTCACAGTCTCTCAAACACCAGGAGCTTTTTAGTCCTATTCATTGATTTCCCCATTTGTGGCAAGAGTGACCTTACCTGCTCCAATGCCAAAGCCGCTCAAAGCCACCTGAGAACATTTTTCCTCCACTTTCGAGGATAACTCTGGACTCCAGCCAGCTCCCTAAGTGGACTTTTTGTGCAGCTTTTTGTAGGACTACCAAAGAAACAGCCTTCTCCCAATATTTAATAGTAAGGGATAGAAGAACACCCGCACCTAAGCCACATTAATCACACAGCCACACGCCATTCACCCTAAGATGGTCCCAGGGATTACGTACGTTTTCAAAAAGACTTCAAAAGTGGAAATCGGACTGGTTGGCCCTGACTTTGTCTTTGGAATGACATCAGCTGCAAGACTCAGTCACCCAATATTCTCGATCAGATCCGCCGCCTGTCTACGCTCCACCTTCCATCCAGATGGTCTGTGGACAGGACTAACCTGGGAGTAAAGCCCAAGGTGGGGAATGGGCGGGCTCCAGGGGGAGAGAAGCCTCGGTCCACAGCAGCACTCTCTTAAGCTCAAAAGAGGAGCCCACACTCCCGAGTCCTGGCGAGGGGCCACAGCACGAGGTGCGCAGACGTGGATACCGGAAGCTGGTCGAGCCAATGGGAGCGTACGTTTTCCCGCGGGCCTCCCTTGGCGCAACCCGCGCGCATGCCCTGTGAAGCCACGGCGCATGCCCTGTGAAGCCACGGCGCATGCCCTGTGAAGCCACGGCGCATGCCCTGTGAAGCATCCGCGTCCCAACCTGGCTCGGTTCTTTCTGCAGGAGGAGCACCCCGCAACCAGCCCAGCTGAGCCGCTGTGAAGACTAAAGGAGATGTGCTGTGTGAATACGGTCTCCTCCGCTCAAGGAAGGTTAGGGGAGACTAAGGCACAGATGGGGGTCGGCGGTGAGGTCCAGGATGAGAGCAAGGAAAGCTGCCGGAGGCACGGCACAGCTCAGCAACTGCTGTCACCCAAACACCTTGCGAGCACCTTTCCAATCCCAATGGAGAAATCACTTTCAGCCCCAAGGAAGCCCTCACAGCTATCCTAATTGAGTTTCCCCAGCAACTGGTGATGGAGTCATGTGGGCACCTGCTAATGAAATCCAGGATTGTGATCACTGTGTCACTGCACCTAAGAAAGCTGGGACAATGATAGGCAGCAAGCAGCAGCTTTGACACTGAAAAGGAAACAGCATCCAAATCCACCATGCAAACTGGGCTTTCCCAATACATAATTGAGATTTAATACTGCTCTAATGGTCCTCAGGCTTGGGGTTTCCAAACTATGAGTCTGAGATCAGGCCATCATTTAAAAAATTTAATTCTGTAGATCAAGGACTTAAAAAAAAAAAATCAAACTTTGGCTGTCATATTGTACTGCAGGCCATTTACATACACATAAATACACCAATAAAAACTTACCTCCGTAGAGGGGCATTCTCCTCAATATCTTCCAGGGTCTCCAAGGATGACCTCTGGGAGATGAGGCGACGTCTGCAGAAAGAGGGAAGAAAATCTAGAAGTTAAAAACCTCATTGTAAAATGGATCAGGCATTTCTGTAAATCTAAAACTGTTCTAAAAAATAAAGTCTATTAAAAAGAAAAAAAAAAAAAAAGACTGGACAAAAGCTGTCTTTAAGAGGCTGCCATTTTCCCAGCCTGCACCCTGAATGCCAGGCCCACCTTGCCTTGCTGAATTCTGAGCATTCTCTCTGGTTAATAGTGCCACTTTATATTGATCCTTTTACGCAGCAATTTTCTCAAAAAAGACAAGATGCCTCTTATTTAACTTGGAAACTGTGTTCAGTTTTTCTAAAGCATTAGATAATACTGTTAATTATTCAAATACCCCCTGGTCTGAACCAGGTTAACTGATAAATATTAAATTTTAAAATCGTATTAAATAAAATCTCAAAATCATTAGGATGCAATAAAAAAGTTATGGTCTCTGGATGGCCATGATTTCAAAAGCAACTACAAATGAGGAAGACATTACTCCTTTGGGAAAGTTTCTCAGAGACCAGTAAGAATAGACACCAGGGCATGATCAGACAAAACATGGACTCTTTGGGGCTGCTAAAGAATTGCAAACCACCAGCCAAAACCTCCTGAATCTAGTTTCTTTTGCCAGATTAAAAGAAGAACAGGTCCTAGTTAACTGAGAATATCTGTTATAGGGACCAGGGTGGTGTGCAGAGGCTCGTAACTTTACAATCAATCCATTTGAACGAAGACCATCATTTCATAGTAAATGGTTTGGCTGAGGAAGTAGAAAAAAATCCGATTGGGTTTCTAATCTTGAAAAAAGGGGACTATAATGTGAAGGATAAGCCTATTTCATATTACATTTGATAAAATTAGGCTAAAGACATGCAATTATAACCATGTTCTAATTTGTCCTAAAGAACAACAACAACAAAATAAAATGAGTGTTCTTTCTTTTGTTTTGTGTGTACTTTTTCTGACCAACTACCCTGGAACCTTTTGCTTTATGTTTTACTTTTAATAAGACAACCAGAAAGGTCATTTTTGCAAACGATTCAAGGGCTTCATCAATTTTCTAAGTGCCTTTCTTAATCTTGATATCAATTCCTTTCCAAAAGAGTCATCACACCCCTTCTTCTTTGCTCTTCAGTGGTAAACTGGTATTCTCTCAGACCTTCACTTGTCAGTGTGGGAGTACCAAGAGATTCTATAACATTACCTCCAGCGTCTTCATGACACACTGGACCTTTTGCAAGATCTGCAATGTCCCTCTGCACTTAACTAACATTGAATTTCCATTTCCATAATATTCCCAGATTTCTAATAGCCAGACCTGAGGCAATGGCTGTGGGGAGACATTGGTCTTACCTGAGAGGGGTGCATGGGGGCCCAAGGGGGTGGGAACTGATTTTACAGGTGGTGATTTTATAGGTGGCCAATTCATTAGTAAGTAGGGCTGTCCTGCGCAGCCCTATAACTCCAGGGACTCGGCTACACCAGGACCCCTGTGACAGCCCCTTGCAGCTGTGGCTTTGAAATGACCAGGCCATCAGTTGAAGCACAGCCCTTCCAGGTACAGAGTCCCAGGCTGGAATAGGGCAAATGCTCAGTCAGTCACACTCCCACCCGTCACAGTTCCTAGGGATCGGGGCCCCCACGGTCCCCATCAAGAGGCAGGTGCAATTCCACAAGCACCACGCATGCTGAGTCAAACAAATTCAGATTTCAGTCCTGGGGTTCAGAGGCTTTGGAGTCTTAGAAAAACTCCTTGATCGTTGAGCCTCAATTTCCTCATCTATGAAACTAGAAAAGGAGAATAAGAAACAGAGACAGATTCCCTGGCACAGGGCAAAAAATGATCAGTAGCTCCTGGGTTTTTGACAACACTCCAGTTCCCCCCACTGAGGCTGCACCCTCACCTGACACCTCCTCCACCACCCCCTCATTCTGGCTCAACGGACTGGGATCAGCCTGGCTGTCCTAGCTCTGGCCCCTCCTCCAACCCCAGCCAGTAGCAAGGTCACCCCAAAATGGCTTATGCCTGAGCCCACCTGAAGCACATGCTCCTTCGACACCTACACCCTCTAAGAAGAACTTCGTGCCACCTTCGCGGATGCACTGGCCACCTGTAAAATTAGTACCCCCAGGCCTCCTCCAGCATTTGGGGCTGCCTCCCCGCCCCTCCAAGAACAGTGTGGCTGGCACTCCAGCTGCAAATGCCAAGTGAATCCCATGATGAACACACAAGGCCCTGGCATGTAGCCTGGGACCCCACAGGCTCTCATCCAACACTCAGACCAGGGTGTTCACCCTGGAAAAATAGGTCCATTCACAAAAGCACATAATCTGACAATTTCCCTATCAAAAAGCTGTATCCAGCTCTTCCTACACCAGAAAAGAAAGGTGCTTATTTGGAAAACAACCAAATTTGAGGAGCACCTGGCTGGCTCAGTCAGTAGAGCATGCAACTCTTGACCTCGGAGTTGTGAGTTCAAGCCCCACGCTGGGTGTAGAGATTACTTAAAAATAAAATCTTACGGAGTGCCTGGGTGGCTCAGTCAGTTGCGTGTCTGACTCTTGATTTTGGCTCAGGTCATGATCTCGGGGTTGTGGGATCAAGCCCTACATCTAGCACAGTGCTTAGCTCAGAGTCTGCTTCTCCCTCTCCCCCTCCCCCCACTCATTTGCACTCTCTCTCTAATAAATAAATAAATAAAATCTTACAAAAAAATAAAAGTAATCTGTATGCCCAAGGTGGGGCTTGAACTCACAACCCTGAGATCAAGAGTCACATGCTCTACTGACTGAGCCAGCCAGGTGCCCAGGATTTGTTTTCTAAAAGCCAGTACCAGGGATGCCTGGGTGACTCAGTCAGTTAAGCGTCTGCCTTCGGCTCAGGTCATGATCCCAGGGTCCTGGGATCGAGCCCCGCATCGGGCTCCCTGCTACGCGGGAAGCCTGCTTCTTCCCTCTCCCACTCCCCTTGCTTGTGTTCCCTCTCTCACTGTGTCTCTCTCAATCAAATAAAATTTTTTAAAAATCTTAAAAAAAAAAAATAATAAGCCAGTACATCTGGGACGCCTGGGTGGCTCAGTCAGTTGAGTGTCTGCCTTCAGCTCAGGTCATGATCCCGGGGTTCTGGGATCGAGTGTCATATCAGGCTCCCTGCTCAGCTGGGAACCTACTTCTCCCTGCAGTCCTGCCTCATAAACGAAGTCCATTACTATGCGAAGTCCTCATCATTGGGCACAGTTAACAAGCACAGGTGTTTCCATGTTTAAATGACTGACAATACATAGCTTTCTTATTAAGCAAGCAGACATTAAGTAAGAGCCCAAGCATTACGTGTCAACATCATCAAATGGGAAGAGGCCGTGACTGGTCCTTCAATTGAGTCATCAGGCTTCCCTGCCTTGTCTGATGGTTACGATTTGGGCCTTTCCACACTGTCGCTGAATACTCTTGAGGCCAATGTGGCTCACATTCAATGACTATACACACCAGCTTCCCTAAAGCCCCCAGACTCATTTGAGAATATTATCTTTTGAAAGCTGGACTCTTGTCTAGACAAGTAAGTCCTAATCCGTGACAAGACTGCTTATCTGGATACATCTACCTGGACCAAATTAATCCACTTACCATCAGGGCTGATGGTTCATTGCAGAGCAAGTCACTGTGTGCTCCTGAGACTCAGGGCTGGTTATAATGAATCCACTTAGCTAAAACTTAAGGAAAGGTCACTGGAAGAAGAGAGGGGAAAAAATCACATGGAAAAACATGTGCCTGGGGTAACAGGGGACTGGACGAGGCAAGACCCAGGGCCAGTATTTGGAAAGTATCTTTTAGGCACGAAAGTGTCAGCACAGTAACAATGAGTAACTATCCACACAAGCTGACGGGGGTAGAGCAGCTGCCCCGCCATCCGAAAGGCCTCCTGGCCATAGCTCTTGTCAGCCCAGTCGGCAGCAATGCTGGGGACCCGAGGAGAGTGAGGGGCAAAGTAGGAGCTCTGCCCGGGGCATCTTCATCAGAGCTTCTGGAAAGGGGTCATCTCTTCTTAGTGCAGCAAGCAGAGTGCCTCTGAGAGAGAGGGCTGATGGGGGCAGGGGGGTAACTGTCAGACGAGCCTCACCAGAGCTGGACTCTGAGCTCGCTGCTGTCCCCGCTGATCAGGGAGGCCAGGCAGGGTCATCCTGGGGTCCAGCTGGGCCCGCTGGTCAAGGGCAATCCCCTTAAGGGGTGACCTGAAGCAGCAGCTTGACTCAAAAGCCAATGTCAGGCAGCGGGCCCCGCAGGGGACAGCATGTGACTCTGACTGGACCAGCAAGTGATGAGGAAGGTGGCCCCTGGCCTTAGCCTCAGTGTCAAACAAGGAAGTAAGTTTGGATCAATGCTCTCTCCCTTTGGCTGCCCATTGGAACCCCTGGGGCCCGTTAAAAATCTCTGGGAGCAAAACACAAGCTTTGAGAGCGAGAAGGAACCTGGACCATCTGGGCCAACCAATGCTATCCTCACAAAAAGGTAATTTCCTCCATGGCTCCAGCTCTCCCCATGTAAGGAGCCCCCTTCCTGGCTCTAAGACGGGCCACTGGAGGGCACGGTTATGCCTTCACAGGTGTGAAGGAAGCGAGGGCATCATGGATACCTCAGTTACACAGGTGATGGGCGAGCTGAGGTCATGGCTTAAATCTGCTCAGACAGTTACTGTGACCTCGAAAAAGAAAAACACAACCACCACAAAAATAACCTATAACTAATATAGTCATAAGACATGCACATACTTGTAATTTATTTGCTTTTTTTGCCAATGTCTTTCACCTGCTGACCATCTCCCCCAGACAAAACTGAACCACACTAGACAGTGGGCTGACTCAAGTGAGGGGCCATGCTTTCCTCACTCATTTGGCCTAGGGATAGAGCATATTTTAGCAACAGTAGATACTCAGTTAAGGCTGGCTGAATAAAATGATGAACTCCATCATCAGGCAGGTGGGTTCTCATGGACTTTT